TGAGCTGCAAAGCCAAGTCAGTGTGAAGGCCCAATGGCGGGAAGCTCAGAGGACTGCCGCCTGCTTCAGCTCTTGCTGCGGGTCTGAATTCTGACCTCAGAACACAAAGCAGAACCCTCCCTCCTGCCAGACCTGCAGGAAAGGGGCACAAAGACATCTTCCTCCCCCTCCCTCCTCGTGCTGCTCAATTGCCTCATTTTTATCTATTTCTTAGGGGCCAATGAAAAATAAATCAGGTGCATCCCAAGTGGACTCTCTAGGATTCTCAGAAAATGAAAGGTTTTTATGTCTGAGGGCTCAGCTGGAGCAGCTATAACTAACATCCATTTTATTTATTTTTATATTTAAAGAGCTTCTAAGCCGGAAGCCTTTAAGCAGCTGCTGACTGGCCCAGAGAACCTCAACCTGTGCACAGCCAGGTTTGCAGAATCCTGCACTGACCATCCGTGGGCCTTTCAGACTCATAATTCTGGGGTCACCAACACCTGCAGGTCTCATATTACCTTTGAAGCAAATGAAGGCTGTGAGACAGGATATTCTTTTAAAATTTTAAGATATAAATTTAACTGAAGAAATAAGAGCCTGTGGTGATAGCACAACATCCATCTGAAGACACTCCTGTACACTTCAAGCAATTAACATTTTCTGACAGACACATAACCTCAGAAAAGGAAGTGGCGTTGTGTATGACAGAGAACAAATGATTGCGTTTAGTCAGAAAATACTTGGACAGATGGTTTTCTCACAACAGCACACTGCGAGTCTTACACCTTGAATGAGTATCATTCTCACCCATTTAATGAGTATCACTGTTTCTTACTCTTGCCAATACTGTGAAAGCACTAAAGATATTGTAGTGAGACCGGCTGGTGTTGCTCAGTGGTTGAGCATCAACCTATGAATCAGGATTTGATTCATGGTCAGGGCACATGCCCAGTGTGGGGCGTGCAGGAGGCAGCCGATTGCTGATTCTCATCATTGATGTTTCTCTCTCTCCCTCTCCGTTCCTCTGAAAAAAACAAACAAACAAACAAAAAAACACAACAAAACACACACACACACACACACAAAACACACACAGAAAAACATAAAAAACAGATATAGTAGTGAACAAGATGCCATCTCTGTCTTCTTGGAGTTTATAAGCTACTAGTAGCCCTGCACACAAATGCTCACTGCGGCTCTCCAGTAGCTCTCTGCCTGCTACCCCACCCTCCTGTAGCTCCTCCCCCCCCCCGCCCCCAACCCCCCCCCCCCCCCCCCCCGCCCCTCTCCAAGCTTGCTGCCCTGCCCCCTCTCTGCCACCCGCTTGTAGCTCACTGCCCCACCCTCCTGCTGATCTGTGATCTGGTTGTTACACTTCACAGCATAATGACTTTTTGCATATTACATCTGTATTATATAGGATTGTGAGAACAGGCTGGTAGCAGTTACCTTTAATTTGCACAGTCAGCAACAATGCAGTATGGCACAGAACACCAAAGAAAGCCTGGGATATCTAGAGTATTCGTCTGAAAGATGAAGTTAGTGAGAGGGAAGAAGTGGCATTGGGGGGCGGGGGAGCTGCGGGTTGGAGGGGTGCGGGAGGTGGTGGTCAAAGGTGGAAGCATCCCAGACAAGCAGAGCAAAAGGCTTTTGAAAGAGAACCTTGTGCTCTAAGCAACTGCTAGTAGTTCAGTTTGGCTCTAACTTATGAGTTGCAGCAGGGGTACCATGTAAGAGTTAAGACTGAAGAAATAATAAGGTTCAGATTCTGAAGGTTGAGGGGACCCACTCCACTCCTAAGGAAGTGCGGGGGGCTGGATAGTATGCCATTGAGCTGGTCGGTCTTCACCCTGCCATTTCAGGGTTGGCTGGCAGGGCTGGCTTCATGGGCATGTGGCCAATGCAGTGGCACAGGGCCCATGCTCAGAAGGGCCCCATGCATGGGGTCCAACGCTATGTGGCCACCGTCTGCAAATTTGTAATGATTTTATTTTTCAGTTTGTGTTTTATAAATGATACATGAAGGGACAATGGGGCTTGTGCAAGGAGCTTGGATCCTCAGCTCAGGGAAGTTCCCCCCTCTTCCATCTACTTGGGGAGGGGTCTCATCTGTCTGCTCTCCTGCCCCTGGCACCCCAAACCACACTTGGCCTCCCCTTCACCACCTCAACCTGCCAGCTGGAGCCCTCTGTCCCTAGCAAGGGCCTGGGGGTGAGTGTGGGGAGAGCAGGATTGGGTTGTGTCCCCTGCAGCATCCCTTGGTAAGCAGGCTGGGGGCTGTCCCTACCTCAGTCTGATAATCTCATGGTATGTCTGGTGGCAGCTGTGTTTCAGTGGGGACGCACCTCTTGCTCACCCTGATCCAGGTACTGACTGCATACAGGCATGGAGTTTCCAAGATCCTTAGAAGGTCACTCATCTACCATAAATTGAAGTACCAGGCCTTCACCGAACTATTGTGTGTCCATAGGCTATGCCTAGATGCATATATATTCTTTGGTTAATCTTTTCCCACCCTCTTCACATATAAGTGAGATCATGTGATACTTCACTTTCTGTGACTGGCTTATTTCACTTAGCGTAATGCTTTCCAGGTCCCTCCATGTTGTTTCAAAGGGTAAGAGATACTTTTTTTTTTTTTTAACAGCTTTTTTATCCACTCATCTAGTGAAAAGTACTTTGCTTGCTTCAAAATCTTGGCTATTGTAAATAAGGCTGCAATGAGAATAAGGGTGAATATATATATATTTTTCAATTATTGTTTCAGGTTTTTTGGCTAAATTCCCAGAAGTGGAATAGCTGGGTCATAATGCAGTTCCATTTTTAATTTCTGAGGAAGCTCCATACTGTTCTCCACAGTGGCTGCACCAGTCTGCATTCCCACCAGCAGCGCACAAGGGTTCCTTTTTCTCCACATCCTCGCCAGCAGTTGTAGTTTGTTGATTTATTGCTAATAGTTATTCTGGCAGGTGTGAGCTGATATCTCATTGTGCTTTTAATTTCCATCTCTCTGATGATTAGTGGCAGTATCTTTTCATATTTATTGGCCATCTGCATGTCCTCTTTGAAGTATGCAGTCACATCCTTTGCCCAGAAACACACAAAGATTGTTTGTTTTTTTGATGTTGGGTTTTATATGTTCTCTTTTTAAAAAAATATTTTTTATTGATTTCAGAGAGGAAGGGAGAAGCAGAGAGATATTAAACATCAATCAGCTGCCTCTTGCAGGTCACCTACTTCTTTGTAAAACACTCCCCTTAACATTTCCTGCAATGCTGGTCTGGTAGTAATATACTCCTTTAGCCTTTTATTGGTCTAGAGAATGTTTTATTAATATTTGATAGACTTTTCTAGTAAAGCTATGTGGGCCTAGAGCTTCCTGCGTGAGAAAGTTTTTAACTATCAGTCCAATTCCTTTGCCATACATATAGGGAATTTCACATTATCTATTTCTTTTTGAATGAGGTTTCAATACTTTATATCTTTTAATTTTTTAATTTCATCCAAGTTGTTGAATATAATAGAATAGAATTATTTATAAATTCTCTTATTACCCTTTTAATATCTGTAGGATCTCTCATGATATCCCCTCTTTCATTTTGGATATTGGTGATTGTGTTTCCTTCCTTCTTTTCCTGGTCAGTCTAGTTAGAGTTTAATCAATTATATTGACCTATTTCAAGAATAGGCTTTCGTTTCATTGTTTTTATTTTATTATTTTCTTTTTCCTATTTCATTGATGTCCTCTTTTATATTTATTGTTTACTTTCTTCTGTTTAATTTGTTCTTTTTTCCAATTCTTTAGGGTTAAAAACTAAGGTAATTGATTTGAGACTTATATTCTTTTCTAATATTGGTATTCAATGCTATAAACTACCCCCTAATTACTGCTGAATTGACACCTCACACATTTTGATGTTCTTTTATTTTTATGCAGTTCAAAATACTTTTTACTTTCTCTTTTAATTTCTTCTTTGACCCTGAATAACATGGGTTATCCAGATGTGTGTTATTCAGTTTCCAAAATTTTAGGGATTTTCCAGAGAGCTTTTCATTACTGATTTTAAAGGAAATTCCACTGTGGTTAGAAGACATACTTAAAAATTTTTTTTTAAAAATTGATTTCAGAGAGGAAGGGAGAGGGAGGAAGATATAGAAACATCAATGATGAGAGAGAATCACTGATCAGCTGCCTCCTGCACCCCCCCCCCCAAATGTGGATGAAGCCTACAACCTGGGCATGTACGCTTGACAGAAATCAAACCTTGGATCTTCAATCTGCAGGCCAACGCTCGCTCTATCCACTGAGCTCAAAAGGCTAGGGCCAGAGGACATACTTTTTATGACTTGAATCCTTTAAAGTTTGCTGAGGCTTATTTTGTGGCTCAGAATATGGTCTATCTTGGAAAATATTCCATGTGTACCTGAAAAGAATGTGTATTTTTCTATAGCTGAGTGGAACATTCTCAATTAGGTCAATTAAGTCAAGATAGCTGAAAGTGTTTAAATCTATATTCTTGTTGATTTCCTACCTACTTATTCTATCAATTATTTGAAAGGGGTGATTTTAAAACTTCGAACTATGATTGTGGATATGCCTTTTTCTTTTTGCAATACTATTAGTTTTACTTTGTGTGTTTTGACATTTGTTCTTAGGTGCATACATTTTTTAAGTTGTCAAGTTCTCTTGATTAATCGATTTCTTAATCATTATGAAATGGCCTTCTTTATCCCTGGTAATGTGTTTGTTTTGTTTGAAAATCTGCTTTGTCTAATATTAATGTAGCCACTCCCGCTTTCTTTTTATTAATGTTAGTGTGGTGTATCTTTTAATCTACCATCTTGTGATCTATTTACTATTTGTTCTATCTGAGCATTGTTGTCTTTTTATTTACCTTCTTTGGGATTAATTAATTTATTTTTTCAAATACACTTATTGGGGTGACTCCCATATGCACCTACTGTTTTGATGACCAGGGAAGTCATCTCCATGGCTATGGGAAGCCAATGTAAGGCTTAGCTCTTATCGCTGTCTCCCAGGGTGTGCTTGTCAAAGAGATACTCGGCCATGCCAGTTTCAGGGGCCCCCAACCTGTGCACGTTGGTTACGTGGTCACCCAGTTCTTTGATGGATTTCACCTGCTCATTCAGGTAGTGAGTCCCAATGAAGTCACACAAATGAGGGTCATTTTTGTCAGCAGCCAGTTTATATAAGTCCAGTAGTGACCGACTCACATTTTTTCCCAAGTGTAACTTATATCCCATTGCCTTCAGCCCATTCTCCCAGTTGGTCACAGCCTGGTTTCTTGATATCCTGAAGGAAGATTCGACCACCTCACTGGTTCTGCAGCTTCATCATTTTCTCAGCATGTTTCCTCTCCTCATGAGACTCGTGAAGAAAATATTGGCAAAGTTCTTCAAAGCCACATCATCACAGTCAACGCAGAAAGACATGGGCAGCAGGTAGACGTAGGAAGCATAGAGTTCCAGGTGGATCTGGTGGTTGATGGCAGCCTCTGAGTCCTGGTGGTAGTTCTGGCCCACCTGCAAGATGGACCCGGTCATTGTCATGGTGGGCAGCTAAGGAGAGGTGGAAGGCTGGCCTGGACAGTGGGATGGGATGATCAAGCTCCGGGTTTATTCCAAGCACTGTTGAAGCAGGAAACCGTAGGGACTCTCTGAGAAGACTGTGATTTAAAGAAATTTAAGATAATTGGGATTAAATCTCCTTTTCCCCAATTCTATTTTTGAGTACTAGAGAAGAATTGCTGCACTGCTTCCCTTTCCCTTAATCAATTGTAAAAGAAACAGATATTCAGGTTCTCTGCAATGCGAAGGCTGTCTTACTCTTTTGGCCAATGGCTGATCGATAATGAATAGAAAATCTTCAGTAAACTATAGCTGATCTCATGCAATTTTGAAGGTTTCACTGCTTCAGAAGAAATTCTGTACTCCTGGGAAAAGCAGAGTTGAAATTTAATGGCTTGAATTTGCTTTTGAGTACTCCCTCCCCTGACACATACATATCCAGACCAGTTTCACTGAGTGTTATCAGAGATTTAAAAGCTGCATAAAAATCCACAGTTCCCAAAATCACTTTACCTATCTCTGTTTATTCTTCTGTCCCTTTCAACATTAATAATTTTTATCTCTCCATCTCCATTTTATTCTTTGTCTTCCTTTAACAATGTTAGCAGCAAGGACTGGTTGATCTTTATTTTTTGCTTTATTTTACATTTGGAAGAAAATGGGGGGCATCTGGTCCATGCCCAGCACTTTTAGAGACAAAACCGAGGTCTAGAAAGTTGGCCAACCTGTCCTTGGCTCTCTCAGTGAGGGAGGCTGGGATTAGTACAAATAACAAATAACAGTTCTAGACGAGGAAAGAAGAGTTAGGAAAACAAAGACTGGCACAGAAGATGAAAAACAATAATAAAGAGCACACAGATGCCAGTATTCCATGGGTTCTCTCTCTCTCTCTCTCTCTCTCTCTCTCTCTCTCTCTCTCTCTCTCTCTCTCTCTCTCTCTCTGACTGCTCTAAAATACATCTTGAGCCCTACCACACTCAAATACTGTAGTGGGCATGGAAAGCCCCGAAGTCTTTACTGATGTAAGGGTTATTGTCTGTTACCACCCCTCTTTCCTACCTCATTCCATTCTCTACCCTTCTCTGCCCTGAATGGTTAGCCTCACTTACCCCAGGCTCTGGTTGGGTTTGGTCAGTGAGAGGAGCTGACATGAGATAGGAAAACACAAGGAGAACAAGTAGGAGTTATTCCTTTTGCTCCCTCCCTTCTCTGACAGTAGCTGAGATCTTCTGGGACTACAGCTCCTACTGGATGCCCTCTCTTCTATAATATATGCCAGCTCCCACAGGGTTCTCTGTCTTTCTCATATTCTCCTCAGGCCTACAGATGGTAAGGGTTCCTTGCCATGCTAATCTCTGGGTGACTGAATACCCCTTATTTGTTCTCATAACCCAGTAGATGGTCCCTTCATTAAAATCTCTTTATTTGATTCTTATGGGTTGGATTCTGTTTCCTACTGGGATTCTGACTGATACGATGATTCCTATAGGTCTTACAGTACATTTGTGACTAGTATTAGGTGTAGGACAGTACAGTGGAAATTTAGAGGAAGGCTAACAAAAACACTGATCTTACAGCCTCATTGCAGAAATGGGAAAAAAGACATACAGGGGCATGAGTCCCCAAACCCAATAAACAAGAGCAATATTAACCCCGTATATACAGAGGCAGGTGCAAGATGTGCATAAGTAAGGGAGTGGGGGAAATCAACAGGATTCTCTGAACTTCTGTTCCTACCACAGTGTGCCTCACAAACATTTTCCTGTGCTGTGAGCTCTTCCATTTGGCAAGGGGATCATAGCAAAGGGTCACCCCAAGGGGACCTACATTTTAGTTTTCCAGTCTCTGGGGACAAGTCTTGCTGCTTTGCGTTTCATTTGTGAAGGTAATGCTTCCTTATAGGAAAATCATTCAGTTCTAAGGTATTTTATGTTTCCTGTTTCTCTAAAGCCTGTCATTTCCTAATAGTGTGAGTCTGTTTCCCTTTATAATAGCCCAGAGGAAATAGGAGCACATTCCATTCAGAAGAAGGAAAAAGAGCAGTTTTAACCCTCTGAGCATTTTGATGTTGTTGTTATTGCTGCTTTCTTAAGATAATGAATCTCATCCTAGCTGGTTTTGTTCAGTGGGTAGAGCATGGGCCTGCAAACTGAAGGATCCCGGGTTCAATTCAGGTCAAGGGCACAAGTCCGGGTTGCAGGCTCTATCCCTGGTGTGAGCTATATTTATTTTATTATTTTATTTTTAAAAAATATATATTCTTAATGATTTCAGAGAGGAAAGGAGAGGGAGAGAGAGATAGGAACATCAATGGTGAGAGAGAATAATTGATCGGCTGCCTCCTGCATGCTCCCCACTGGGGATCGAGCCCGCAACCCAGGCATGTGCCCTTGACTGGAATTGAACCCGGGACCTGCTAGTTTATAGCTTGATGCTCAACCACTGAGCCCCAGTGGCTGGGTGGGAACTATAATTAAAATAAAAAAGAAATGGTCTTGGTCCTTAAAAAGTTTACATCCTGGTAGCTTATCTGTTCACTACCTTTTAAAGGCAACCTCATGAGACAAATAGTCTTTTTGGACTTATTTCTTAAGTTTTCCTCTTTTGTAGCACAGTCCATTATAAGTGGTATTGTATATTGCTCTTTTATCTCCTTTATCTTATTTAATCGCTAGAGGTCTGATGCATGGCATTTGTCCCCTTAGCCTGCCTAGTGCTCTTTAGGACTCTGGGAACCCTATGGGGATGTCAGACATCCTTAGTGCTCCTGCCACCACCATTGCACTCACCAACCATCAGCCCTGCTTGTGGTTGAGTGGTGCTCCCCCTGTGTGATCGCACTAACCACCAGGGGCAGCTCCTGCATTGAGTGTGTATCCCTGGTGGTCAGTGCTTGACATAGCAACCGGTCATTCCACCGTTCGGTCAATTTGCATATTACCCTTTCATTATGTAGGATTAGCACCACTCTGTGAGGTCAAGAAGGTTAGCATAAAATCTTTCATTTGTAGTTGAGGAAATGAGATATTGTATAAGTCAATCACTCAGCTGGGGTAAGTCAGGCCCCTAAACCTCACTTGGAGATAGGCCTTTGCTCCCTCTACTTTCCCACTCTCTGTATCTAGCCTCTTTTACTACTTTAATCATATTGAGCGACCAGAAGACTTTGAGCCTCTGAAGGCTCAGTGTCATATATTTCTTTGAACTACTTCAAACACTTAACATAATGCTGAAGATATTGTTAATCCACATGGATTGAGTCTATTTATTTAGCGAGATTTAAGTTAAAATTTGAAATGTGCTTAAAAGAACTGACAAGGTATTTCAAAACCATCTCTCCAGGACCTATAAATTATAGGGGTATTGACATGGACTTCTTCCTTCCCAAATGACATTTTTTTCTGGATGGCTTTCATTTAACTGTGGGTTAGGATAATTGAGAAGGGATGAAACCATTACCTGTGGGACTTAATGGCTGGAGGTCTTACTCATACCCTTCATTGGGAGTAAATGAATGAGTAATGCTCGTGTGGCTTAGGCAGGCCCCGGATTTCACTGGGGAGATTATGATTTTAATTTAACATATCCTGCCGTACAGTGTTTGAAATGTTCAGCCAGCAGCGATCCCTGGGAGATGAAAGCCCAGTTGTGTTTATTTTAAGAGACTTGCGGTTCTTTGCCAAAGCCAACATTCCTAGGCAATGAATAGCGGGAGTGAATCATTCGAAGTAGGTGAGAGGTCAGAACATGAAGAAGAAACTGGAAGTTGAAAGGTTTTCCTTAGTCAAATGGCAGGTTTGAAAAGGCATTTATAAAGCAGAAGCTATTACGGAAACAGGCCTTTCTTTTTCAAGATGAATCTTCTGCAGGTGAATTCCAAAGACCTCTTCCGTGGCTCCACCTAATTATTCCTGGTGTTGTTCACCTTACCTGGCTATCAGAGTGGAGAAAAACAGGAAACATCTAGTTCTGGGCATTGGCTTCATTGGAGAGCAGAACAGTAGTCACGTTCTTGAGGACAAGGTAGGCACATTCTGTTAGAAGGAGGCTGGCATACTGCTCATGTGGCATGACTTTGGTGAGTGTCTAGAAAACCTTCATAGCCATTCCTAGATTGCTTATGTATCAAGCATTATGGAATGTCAACAAGTATGGCAAAGCCTGGCCAACATGGCTCAGTAGGTGAGCATCAACCTATGAACCAGGAGGTCATGGTTTGATTCCAGTCAGGGCATATGCTTGGGATTGTGAGCATGTAAGAGACAGCCAATCAGTGATGCTCTCTCATCACTGACGTTTCCATCTCTTTGTCCTTCTCCCTTTCTCTCTGAAATCAATAAAAATATATGTTTTAATAAGAATGGCATTAAATGTTGAGGATAGAACAAATATTTATTGAGTACCTACTGTATAGAAGGGACTTATTTAATCCTCACTCATCCAATAATGTGGATATTTTAATGGATAAAGAAACTGAAGCTTATAGAATTGAAGTCACTTAGGTAGCTAGTGTTTGAGACAAGATTCAAAGCTGAGTAGTATGGAAAGGAGCCTTCTTTTATCACCAGCTATAATAGCTGGAATAGAAAGACTAACCAGTTCTTTCTCTGACTACTGCATATAAAATGCAACTTCTATCTTTATAAGAAAGACAAACAACACACAAACCAATGTCATGCTATTCACTATACCCTGCAGTGGTTCTCAACCTGTGGGTCACGACCCACAGGTTGAGAGCCACTGCTGTAGAGCCTAACACCATCGGAAAACACAGATATTTACAATTCATACAGTAGCAAAATTACAGTTATGAAGTAGCAACAAAAATAATGTTATGGTTGGGGGTCACCACAGCATGAGGAGCTGTATTAAAAGGTCGTGGCATTAGGAAGGTTGAGAACCACTGCCCTGGAGCATTAGGAAGGAAGATACTCTCTGTAAGCCCAGCCTTAGGAGAAACTAACTGAAAACAAATCACAAAAGATAACAAAGTTTGGCCTAGTCTCTGTCCTCAGGGAAC